TGCAGTCTCTGGGACACTTGAATAGTCGTAACGGCCTTGAACCTATCTCTCACTGGGAAAAGTGAAGGCAAACGTTGTGGGGGTAGACCCAGAGCAACTTAGAGACCTTAAACCGGTGTGTGACGGGGAAAGATGAGAAAAATGTGGATTTTTTATGTTTTAGTAAGAGTTTTACAGCACTTGCAACACAATAAAGTCATATAAGTGCCGAAGATTAGAGGTATTACAAGAGAGTTAAGAACACAAAAAAGAGATAAAGACGATATAATTTTTATAGGAATGAAGGAATAAACCACACCAGAGCACCCGCCAACCACCCACAGATGTAGATTTTTTAGAGCATCCAAGCAACGGAATGAATGGAGAACCATAATCTCCGACGTCTGTCGCAGATCTGGTAACTGATGATGGTGATGTGATATGTTGTATATAGAACACACTGTTAAAATTAAACATTGTTGTAGCTTTGTAGTTGGCTGAAATCCGCCAATGACAGGTCCACATGAATCTTTATATGTGTCACGACGTGGTGGAATCAGGCGCTCGTCAATTTTTTTGGCATTTGGAGTTAGGCTATTGGTAATATCTAAAAGCGGATTTAGTTGCCTTGCTTCAAACGAACTATTTATCCATCTATCTTGAATAGAACTCAAGATAATAATATTTGCAATTGAATAAGTGAGACCCTTAGTTTCAGTGGTGAAATTAGCTAGAAAATGGCAGCTAAAGTTTGGTAACTCTAATAGCTATAGGGTCCTTAAAAATAGGAAAATAACATATTTTGTGCCTTTAATAAATGTTTTTTCAGTAAAATTCACACGGAAATGTGTGTTTGTATATATGGACATAAAAGAAGTTGAGGCAAAAAATAAAGATTCGATAAAAATTCCCAAACTGGCGAAAACATGCTTGTTTCTCAAATTTCTATTCTTTGACGAGGACCTGATTTCACAACGTTGCCTCACAATATTACCCTTTTCTTTATATAATAATAATAATAATAATAAGAAGAAGAAGA